GAAGCCCCCCCCCCCCCCCCGGGAGGCAGAATGGCTGCCTCACAGCCTCCCTCGCTGCTGGGCTCTGGGGTGAAGCGCTCACTGGTGGCTTCCTAATGGGGAACGGGACAAAGCGCGCACCCTATAGTGGGAGGCACAGGACAGGGGCTCGGATCCTGGGTGTCCAGGAAGCCAACAGGTCCCAGCACAGGTCCCTTTAACTCACCAAAGACATCCGTGTGATGAGTCTGGTCCAGGCCGACCTGGTGTTAGGCACCCACACGTGAACGCCGAGTGCACTGATGGGCGGCAGGTCATCTGAACTCACTGTACTTTGTGGCACCACATGGGGGAGGGGGTGGCCTGGGGACGCTTCCCAGAGATGGCGATGGTGGGAATGGTGCCTGGAACAGACAGAGGTCAGTCAGAGGACAGGAAGAGCATCGTGGAGGCAGAGAGAGCCCCTTTAAAATGCCAAGTAGCAATGAAAGCTGCTTCGTCGCCCCCCACAGCCCGGTCCTGTCCTCAGTGCACATGCCTCCTGCCTCTCCGGCCACACGCTGCTCCCCCTGCTGGTTGCGCCTCTCCCTCCCTCCCCACTCGCCCCTGGGGCTCCCGCACTTCAGGACCCTGAGCTCCCGGCCTGTGACCCCTCTAGACCTTATTCCACTTCCCACCCCAGCGCCTGGTTAGGGCCTGACACGCGGTGCCCAGGAAGTGTGTGTGGAGTGGACAAACGGGGAAGGATGAAGGAATAACCCAGTTCGTAGCCCAGCTGTAAAGGCAGGGGTGCGGCCTGAATCTCCAGAAGCTGCGGGAGGAGACACACTGGTTGGGAGGAGGAGCGATGGGAGGGGCGAGCGTGTGGAGCACTGCCCGAGGCAGAGGCAGCAGATGTCAAGGCTGCTCCTGAGACGGAGGGGGAGCCGCTGGCCCAGCCTCCTGTGGTCGGGGCCAGTGAGGAAGGGCAGGCTGTTGCACACACTGCCCCGTCCTGGCTGCCAGCCAGCTGCTCTGTCTCGGGGGTGCCGGAGGGGTCTGAGTGAGGGGGCCGGGCCCCAGTGGTTGAAGTCAATGTGCTCACCTGTGCTTACGACTGAGCATGTGTCGGG